GCAGCAACTTCTACAGCTGTTTCAGCTAGATCTGCCGGGCTACATCAGATTATACTTTAAAGTAATACGGATGTTTGGCCCCCTCCATGTGTATGTCCTGTTCTATCTGAAAGTCAGCGTGTTTGTCATCGATATGAAAGTCAAACTACATTGTAGACAACTGTGTTACTAATGAACCTGAAAATTCTTTTAAACTGAAATTCTTTTAAACTTTTTGTTCCACAAACTCTTCTAGTTGTGTAAGTTTTAGAGTACAAACATACAAAACTTACTTTAAGAGTAAATGGATGTCCATGCCATGACAACTTTGGCAGAAGTTTTGTTGAATGACAATGTTCTCTGTATACAGCCACTTCTCAACCTTTTTTCCTCATATTGTTTCTACTTAAGTGTAGCTGAAGTCAGGAGAATGTTTTGTGTTAACTCAGTTATAGCCTAGTTTGTATGTTTGTCCACCTTTGTGTTGGAAAAAAACCCCAACCCTAAACCTTTTATTTCTGTAAGTAATGTGAATTGTAAACATACAGCAGTATTAATGTTACTTCTCAAACTCTTATGCTACAGTATATGTAAAGGGAGAGCATGGATGTAGACATGATTATTCTAAAAAACTTAGAAATTTTGAGGTACTTGCTGAGTTCTTAAACTGTAAATAGGTTTTGCAGCAAGATGTATTTTTAAACCTTCCTAGTTACGTTACTGAAATCCATCAAGTAGAATAGCAAAACGTTTACATATTGTACACTTTCTTTATCGAATGTGGAATTTGTAAATCTCCCTAATTCTGGTAGAATGTTGCCCTTAGCGATCTAGATAAACAGATGTTTGTTCAATTCCAGCATAATGTTAATCTCTTTAGTGAAGATGATGGTAATTTGACAAATTGGGAGGGATAGCAGTCCCGGATTAATGAGTTATAAAACTGTTTCTATTTATCCAATGCTTAGGCCAACTGGCAAATGCTGTTTGCATGCCTCTAGCTTCCTATTCTTTAAGAATTTATAATCCCTTTTTTAAAACTTTAAAACATTCTTTTAAACTTCTTTTAAAAAGATAAAATAAAGCTGACAATCTACTGTGGTGCCTATTCTAAGAACTGGGCCAGCTAATGAATAGAGCAGAGTATTTTCAGCTGGAGGGGACGTACAGCCATCATCCAGTCCCGCTGCCTGACCAGTTCAGGGCTGACCAAAAGTTAAAGCCTGTTGTTAAGGGCATTGTCCAAAAGCCACTTAAACCCTGACGGGCGTGGGGCACCGCCCACGTCTCTGGGAAGCCTGTTCCAGCGCTTGACCGCCCTCTCGGTAAAGAAATGCTTCCCGACGTCCGGCCTGCACCTCCCCTGGCGCGGCTTTGAACCATTCCCACGCGGCCCGTCGCTGGATCCCAGGGAGGAGCTCAGCCATGCTTTCAGTTAAATCCTGAAAAGTAAAATGAAATCCAAAAAGAGTGTAGTGGTAGTGAAGAACTGTAGGTGGTACTTTTGACAATTTGTCTCGCATGCGGACACGGGTTAAACTAGAGCTTCAGGAGGCAGCTTGTAATGCACATAATTGCTTTCTCTTTTTTTACTCTGTTTTAAATCCTGCCTGCATTGTAACTTTTAAACTGCTAACTTGTGCATTCTGAGTGTTTGGCACTGAATACTAGTGTGTTTTGTTTATTTAACCTATTAGAAGTTCATGATGCTGTAGGCAAAACATGTTGGGTTTTTGAGTAGGTATTCACAGCACAGAGCCCCCTCAGATACATTAGAAGATTATTAATCCCCTCTGGCAGAAATAAAAAGAACACTCATTGTCATTTCCATGGGAAAAATGGGGAAGTATCAAGTATTTTCTGTAAATTCTTGTGAAAGCCTTCAGTCCTTTCAAATTAAAATGAACAAGATTTTAAAAGGGGAAGAAACAGTTGCCTGCCTTTTGTGCCTGACAATGCGCATGGCCTGGATTTTGTTCCAAATTCCTCTTTATGTAATATCAACGGGGACGTATTTGGCACAGCTAACGAGGTCCTTCTCTGCTACAGTGCAGTGATGAACATCGCAGGGAGCTTTAAAAAGTGCTCATTGTTAAACATAGATACAGAAAGAGGAGCTTTAAACAGAACAGCTCTGAAGCACAGCGATGTTACAGTTGAGGGCGTAGTGGTAAAGTTCCCCTTTGGACATAAAGTTATCACTAGACTTTTGATGTTTCTTTACCTGTGGGTGAGGTTTGCTGTTAGATATCACATACATCTGGAAAAAAAAAATAATAGTTGTGTCGCCTAACCTGCTGAGCTCATTTAATTTGATAAAATACATGGACTTGACTTACAGGAATCCATAATGTATACTCATATCTTGCAAAATAAGTGAAGCCTTTGTGATAGGAAATATTCTGAAGGAACATCTGTTAGATCTCGTGGAAGAATATTATGAAAATCCAAGCATTGTGATTAAAAATTGGCAAGCCAATGGTTTAGAAATTGATGGATTTGCATGTATTGGATCACTGCAAACCAGCAGTTATTTTTATGCCACCAAAAGAAAAAAAGAATCAAGATACAGAATTTCATGACGCTCTCTTCCATGCCAGTGAGAATTGTAGGTTTAAATCCTGTTTACTGTACCAAAATCTCATGGTGCTTGCAAATTTTATGAATAAAACATGAGAGAAGTCTAAACAGTTACTTTCTTGCTGGTTTACACCCACATGACGGAATTCAGCTTTATCTGTTTTGTGGTAAGAAGCTTGAAACCAACCAAAACTTTTGTGAATATCTTATTTCTGTCTCTGTGCCCAAAGCTAAAGGAGAAGAGACCTATTACAAAGGCTTTTATGCAGAGTAAATATATTAGTTTTTTTTATAGAGAGCGCTCACCGTCAACTTGCTTGGCTTTCTCTGTTCTAGGGACACTTAGGTAAACTAACAGTGTCGTTGTCTGTCCGTCCACTAGAGACACAGCAGGACCAGACCTACAGAGATGACAGTGACGCTGCAACTTTCAAGCAAACCCTCCCAGATCTCACCCCTGACGAGCCTTCAGAAGCACTCGGCTTCCCTCCCTTAGGAAAGGAGGAAGGGAGATGTGATGAAGATGTGCCCAAAAGCCAAACGGAACCCCCTGCAGTGGAAAATAAGGAACCCCAGTCTCCACCCGCTGAAGAGCCAGTAACACCAGCAGCGGAGGAGGGGACGGCAGCTGATGCAGGTAGCGATGAATCTCCAGGGAAGTCCCCATCGAAAAAGAAAAAGAAGTTTCGCACTCCTTCCTTCCTGAAGAAGAGCAAAAAGAAGAGTGACTCCTAAAGGCCAAACACACTGCAGAAACACTGTCATATTTTAAAATTCATTAACCACTAGAACGTACCAGATCGTACTGAGTGTTTTGTCTTATTACGTACATGAATGCAGCAAGTAATCCAACCAGCCCCTCAAGTTATGGCTTGATTGTTTAAGGTTATAACCAGAAACTAATGTCCAAAAAGGTGCTAATCCTGTGTTTTCAGCAGCTACCACAGATCTGATCCCTAATTTGTAATCAAATGTGGAAGGCACTCAATCACTATTTTTAATTTAAAGCCTGCACTGCTTTAAGAAAGAATTAAAAAAAAATCCACAACTAAAAATAAAACACACATTGCTTACCACAAGAAGTGTTCTTTTCCAATATTCTGTTCCAAGTCACAAGTAAATTCCTTCTTAAATTCTGACTTTTAGAGAGGATGCTTTTGCAGTGGTGATTTCAAGGGGGTTGTATTCCTGGACTGACATGTAAACTTCTGCAAGCTTGCAATTACTGATCATGTTTAGTCAAGCTTTGAGGCTGTCCGGCCCTTCCTCTCTTCTTCCCCTCTGACTATTGTAACAAAATGAAGGTGTTTTTCACTTTGTTTTATTTTATAACTGGCACTTGAAATCATCTTTGATGTCTAGGACTGAAATAACTGTTGTGTGTTCCACTCATGTTGTGTGTTGAAAGAGCCCAATCTTTTTATTTTTTTCTAGTGAGTACAGTTTAAGGGAAATCTGTCTTTCAGTCTCACCTCCCTAAGAATCATTTGTAATTTGGCTGTTAGAAAAGGTTAAAAAGTAACTGTATTACAAGTATATCAGAAGTTTTTCAGCTGGCACTGTGGTGCAGTTGTGTGTTGGGCCTTAGCAGGGGCTTTTCTCACCCTCTTAAAACCCCCTCGGGTGCCCATGCAAAGCTGTTGCGTATAAACCCCATTTGCAGCCTTTTGCGTTCCTTCCCATCATAAAAATGTAAATGCATTACACTGAATATTTAACCTTTTGTTATATTAATTATTTTCACTTACAAAAACTGGCATTTCTTTAATATTTCTGTTGCCAGCAGTGAAGTACAGAAATCCCAAGTAACCTTAAAGGTGTGTTTTCACAGTTCGCTCTAAATGTTTAATACGTAGCATGGCAAAGAACATGACTTTCACCACTGAATTCACTGTTTTCCAGTTGCTGCCATGCTTCTGTCTGTCACTAATCGTAGCAGCAGTTTCAGATCAGATGGGTAAAGCTTGCAGGAATTCTCCAGAAACCATGCGGAATTGCCCCTGCCGAAGGTGGGGCGGGTTGGTAACCCTTCCTGGTTCCTGCTGCCAGCGTTTCTGGCTTTAACAGCAGAGAACATTGACACCCCTGCATGGGAGAGGGAGACACGCAGTTGCGCAGTAAGTGTGCGTAACAGAATCCGGTGTAACCTTTTAGGACAATATTAAATGTTGCAATTGGTAAAATAGCAGACTGATGCCTTACATTCACGCAGCAGAAAGCATCAAGCGAGCAGCGGGCTGAGCGGTCGGACGTGGCTGCGGATGAACGAGGCCTGTGCTAGGCTGGGAGGTGCTGATGCTGGGGGAAGCGGCCCAGAGGAGAATTGGAGCCGGAAGGCTTCAAGTGAGGGAAGAGGTTTCGGGGTGGTGGTTGGTGCGGTGAGCGAGGACAGGCGGCCCGTTGTGGAGGGGGCAGAGGTACGGTGGAGCAGAAGCTGTGGTGAGGCAGTGTGCGGGAGAGGCCCCCGAACAGCGATGTTTAGTCCAGACTGCATGGCGCGAATGGCTTTCCGCTTGTACTTTAACCTTGTATGTCACCTGTACACTAGGAAGCATACAGTACTTATTTTGCTAAATTGTGTTTTACTGCAGGGTTGTAATTAAATGACTGATTGCTCTATGTTTCAGTTCTTTAACAGACTCCCTCCATTTATCTTGGCTACATATGCAATGACTCTTAATTTCTAATTTTGTAGTTTGTTCTTTTAATTCTTTGTATTACAATATGAAATGTAGTCATGTATGGTATGGTTACACACTTTGGGGCAGAAAAAAAGTCCTGCATTTTTTTTTTCTTTCTTGTATCATTAAGTTCTACTCACAAATAAAACTCTTAAAAAAAAAGACTTTTCCTGCTCTGCTTTCAAAACTTGTGCAGTTTTATTCTACAGGTGCAGCCTGTTGACTTTTATTAGCTCTTTCTTTTAAGGATTAATGTGTTAATTAATGATTGCTTTAGTGTATTCTCAGAAAATGTATGGAGCCTCCATGCCAGGGGTGGCTGGGCTGGCGTCCTGGACCCTGCTTGGGCTAAGCCAAATGGCTACTGTAGTTCATTAGTGACTGGACTAGACAAGTGTACAGCATAACCGTTTATTTGTAACACAACAACAGTGCTTGGTCATCAAACATCCCACAGTATTAGAAATTAAATATAAAATATCTCTCTAAATTTAAGTGTATACATACTAAAAACAGTCCACCTGTGCTGAAGTGTTAGTTGGGTTCAGAAAGCCTGTAGTATGCTGCTCGCTTTTGTTTTTGAGCGTCGGGTTTTCAGGCGGCTGGTATAGCTTTTGCCAGGTCTGCTGAGCATCGGCAGTGATCTCATGGCAGTTGTGCAGAAACACCCCAGTATTTGTTCTCTGCTGCCCAAAAGCAGCCCTGGGGGCAGAGCTTTGGCCTGGCCTTTGATAATGACAAAGGAAGAGAAGCAGAGGAGAGCTGTGTGCGCTGCAGCGTGGTGGTCAACAGCACTTGCTGGCAAGTTGGGATTGCGCCGTCCCATGATGTTGTCGTATCAGGCTCTGCTTGTCTGGTGACCTTAATGCTTTACTCTGTTTTGGTTTGGGGGTGTTTTTCTATTCTCAAAGCTAGCCCAGCTGGCTGGGAGGCCAACTTAAACCTACCTGCTTGTGGAGGGCTGTAAGAATCCTGAGCTCTCTTGTTGCAAATGGCTGTTGCCTGTCCCCTTCCAACAGACCAAAATCCCCCTCCTCCTCCTATCTGATCTGCAGCATCTGTGCCAGGAGTCAGGCTGTGTAGGATCCTTGGGAGCTGGCGATAGTCCTGTGGTTACTTCCTACTCCTCCTTTGTCTGCTGTTTTATCGAACCAAGTAAAACGAAGGGGATGAGGAACAGAGCTCCACAGACAGTGAAGCAAACCTCTGCCCCTGCCAGCCAGTAAACTGCAAAGGAAACAAGATTCAGCTTGTTAGTATGCTTCATCTGTGTAAACCAGCCTGCCAAGCTGCTGCTCTCAACAGCTTCCACCTGGAGAACACAGAGCTGCTGCCACCTTCCCTTGCTGGCATGCAAGTTACAAAGAGGAGGTAGCTAACAACCAGCAGTGCTGGTGCCCTTCCAACAAACCGGCATGTTGGAAGTGGCTATTTTAAATAGGATGTTTTCATTCTTGCTAGTATGGAAATGGGGAAGCTCCTATTCATGCATTCAGCTTTAGCCACAGGGCAACCACTTAATGCTCTCCCCCCAGCGCCTGCTCCATGGCTGCTCCTGAGAGCAAAGAGCTTTACTTGAAGGAGACAATACAACAGCAAGAGACCTTGTGTGAAACAAGCAGGAATCCAATGCCTAGGGAACAGCTGCTGGCTTTGCTCACACTTAACTTTAGGTGCAAGTTCAAGCTCTGACTTGCTGCGTGGCTGCTTCCCTTTTACCCTATAATGGCTTGGGGGAACTGAACCCAGTGCAGGGCCTAGGGGCTCTGCTCCTTAGGCACAGTCTAGGCTTGGCCTTAGCCTAGGGCCACTAGGCTCTCAGGGGTACCTGCTGCTGCAAAGACACCTTCATGGCTCCAAAAAGTGCCAGACTTCCCCTTCTGCCTCACTCAGGTGCTGTGGGCCCGGAGTGACACTGTACCTTGGCAATGTAAAAGCCATGCTCACCTGTAGCTGACAGGATTGGTCCCAGGGCTCTGGCAAGGGCACCCAGGCTCCTCAGGATCCCCATGACACGTCCTTTCTGGCTGGCAGAGCCTGTGCAAGCAGAGAGCCCTTACTCAGGTTGGAGGTTTTGCTTGGGGCAGGGAAAGCAGGCACAGCATGGATGCAAGTTAAATAAGAGCCACATAATAAAGTGACGTTAATGAGCAAATACTGACTGACTGACTGACTTTTATCCACAGCAAGCACAGCAGTGCTGGCAACCAACTGAACCAAAGCTAAAGAAAGAACTGTGTCATTCCCAGCTGGCAACACGGCAGCATCAGCTTTACAAGGTTCCATAGCAACCAGTGCCACAAACCCAGAAGGTTTTGGAAGGTTTAGAAGGTTCCTTGGATTATCTTTTCTAATACATCAGGAATAAATTACTGCTGGCAGCAATGGCTGGTGTCTGCTTCAGAGACCCCCAGCCATTCCCACCTCCGTGCTGTTTGTGGCCTTTGCCCATGATATTAATTCTGTGCCCACTGCTCCCCATCTTTTTAATTGCAAGGTTGCTTCCAGTTTCCCCACAGCATTGGAATGAGCTATGCTACACAGTACAAAACTGAAGTGTGATACTGGTGTTCACACCGAACAGGCTGTTGCTGTTTGTTAGCTCTGAAACTCTCCATTGCAGAGTGCTGACAGTTTTCAGAAATGGGTAGAAGTCATTTTTGAGTTATCCTATGCTCCCTTGCAGGATATTTCTGCATTTCCCAGGGTCAGGATGTTGCTTTCCTATCCCCAGCAGTCCCACTGAGCTTCCCTTCTGCAAAGGAGGTTCATGGAAGGGAAGGGACTGAAGGCTGCAGCACCTCCAGTGTAATAGCAGTCATGGATCGCTGGCTATATGGAAAAGGGGCCGCACCCAAGCGACCAGGAAAGGCTTTTTTCTAGGCCTTAGCCTCACTCCTTCAGGGGTGGTTGCCATTTCAGCGTGACATACATACAACGGGGAGCGGCGGGCCACTGTCCACATTTCTGCTTTCCTGGTTAATGCATCTGGGGGTAAGAAGCCAAGCAGCGGCCAGAGTCACTGTTGCAATATTCAGAGCCGAGGTGGGCCGATGCCATGAGCGCTCCTGTCGACGCATCACTAAACCTGAGGTCAGTTCTGTGTTTGTCTGAGACAGGCCTATACAAAGGTCAGTTATGCAGCCAAGGGCTGCCGCTTAAAGCGGGACAGACACTCACCATAGCCTGATACCACTGCTGACAAGCACGGGATAACAATGGCCGCAGCTGGAAAAATCCACAGAAGAGACTGTCAATGAGCTCAAAACAGTTACAAGAACAATAGCGAAAAACATGTGGCCCAAACGCGTTACTACTGCAAAGAACTATGCTGAGCTCTGGGGCACTGTACCAACAATGAATCATCAGGTTTAATCCAGTTCAATAATGAAAACACCCCCTCAAAGCCAACCTGCAGGAAGAGCCCAGAGCCCCGAGTGCTCTGAGCAGATGTTTCACATTAGCATCTCTCATTCCATCAGCCCACAGGAAAGGGGCGGGTACCCGCTGCTTTTCCAAATCACTGTGGTCTTGTCAGGTGGAGCAGGGATATATTTCAAACAGACAGTGAGGTGGCTGTACACAGAATCACACTGTCCCCCTGTGTATGGCTTTACCGTACTCACGGATGAAAGAGGCAGCGTACTCACAGATGAAAGAGGTAGCTACCTTCTGTCTTGGGGAAACAAGACCGTCAAGTCCAAGAAGAGGTTACAAAATAGCTGGACACAAAAGCCAAGAGCTGTTCAGCAATCACTGCCCTCTTACTGAAACAGGGTCCTTTTCTGCCAAGAAGGACGTGCTTTAAGCATACAAAGCAGAATCTTTCCTGGGAAGGAAAGAACAACTGGAGAGCAGGGACAGACATGTTGCCTTAACTGCAGGCACCCTAACTCCTGGGGCAGAGGGAAGAAGAGGGGCCCCTCCAGAGGCACTTCTAGCAGGCTTAACTGGGGAGGAGATGGGGTCTTCTATCGAGGTAAGAAGCCTCATCTCCCTAGGCTCCAAACTTAGAAGCACAGTTGCTTCTGTGACAAAGAAAAATGAATACCTCCTCTCATCCCTCCTCACCCAGGGGGCTTTCAAAAATCAGTTAATCTGTAGAGAAGATGTAGATTTTGAAACCTGTCAAACACACAGCTACTAAATAGATGCATTTTGTGGTTTACAATTTACTTTTAAATCAAGCTGCATCATGCAGAAGAGAAGTCTTCTACCTTTGTAATTAGTCATATTTGAAGCTTCTTAACAATAGTTAGCAGCACTGGGAATATCTCAAATCTCTTTTCAGATAGGCACATCAGTAGATGAATCCAACTCCATTCATAATTGTTTCCCTGAATAACAGCTTACTTTGGCAGGATATTATTTACATAAACACTTAAACATCTTCGAAAACCACTTAGCAGAAACAAGAGGTGGAGTTTTGCTCCCTCTCTGAGCTAGCAGCTTGCGATGCAAGAGAGCAGAGCGGTGTCCAGCCAGCCCAGCCCTGTGCCACAATGATTCACCCTCACTCTCACTCAGCCTGAACGCACACTCCGGCCTCCAGCTTCAGAGCCTGCAGGTCCCTTCAGCCTGTTGCCTAAGAAATAAGGCAGCCACCACAGAAATATAGAGGCATGCTGTCTCCCTTCTTTTCCTGAGTTATTCAGTGAATATTTTGCTTCTAGGACTGATGAGAGGGAGGAAAAAAACACCCTTGAGAGCTCCCCGGTGAGACAGGACAACAGGCACACTGGGGATGCGTCCAAACATCACCAAGGCAACTTCCTGTGATACAAACAGCATCAGAAAAAAAGCCAGACACTACTTCTTCCATATTTTATAAACAGAAATGTCAACTTTCTGTTACTTACAGTTTGAAGTTAGAAGTGCATCGTTTTTAACGGCGTGAATAAATAGATGAAGAAAAATTATTTGTGCTTAGCTGTCAGTGCATTTTGAATAGCTCACCGAAGGAGTACAGCAACAGTCCAACGCTCAGCATGGTCACATTTGCAGCCCATCCAATTAACAAGAAAGCTGGAATCAGCAACATAATAGCCTGCAAAATGAATGAGTCACACAATTACATTTAAGCCCTGCTTGTTAAAGCCTAACTCTAGGTGTCCTGCCAGTTCTCTTCTGCTGATGGGACTACATTTAAGCTAGAAGCAGAAAGCCCCTTCTTCCCAAGCAGACATTTCAAGTTCAACTGGAAAGCCACACATCAACAAGGTCTTCAGCTTTCAGAGTCCCAAAAAGAGAAAACATTCTCCCATCTCCAAGAGCTTGGACTTCAGTTCCCCTGTGATGTCTCCCTCCATACAGAGCTTTTGCAGAAGAGACGGATAGGTTAAGATCTGCGGTGTGTTTGATAAAAGAGAGTATTCACTCCCACCAACTGTCTCGTTTTGAAGATTCAGTTATAAATCAGCTACTGTAATCACTGTGCTAAGAGAGGCCACCTTTGCCGTATGATCCAGATTCACAAACAAATTGCCAGAAGAGCTTCAGCAAAAGGGGGAACTCCCACAAAAGCCACATACATGCACAGGAGGAGTGCCTCGGGGCCAGTGGGTTTCTGCATAGAGCACGTGGGTGAGTGAGAAACGATCAGCCCAGAGCAACTGAACTGAGCGTTTCGAGGTAACTACACTTCTCAGTGCAGGGAAGAGGAAGGACTACAATAATTAGTGGGGCAAACCACAGTTTGCAATAAACTGCAGTGCAGTGACAGAAACACAGCAGGCTGGCAGAGCACACTAAGGAAGCTGATGCAGAGGATAAAGCAGTGCTAACACAGCAGCATGAGCTTTCCTTCCCAGGGAAATGCTTCCTATGTGACACAACAAACGTGCCATTAACTTTTGCCTGCCAAGGAGCAGAGTGGAGATCGTTTCACCAGCAGAAATGACCTTTAAGAAAAGCTGAGTCAATTCACTGGAATGCAGTGCAGTTTGGCCATCTTTTTTACCCTGCCACTGCTGAAATCACACTGGCCTCAAAATAACGTGTAATAATCAATGGAGACTTTAAGAGCCCGAGCATACGTATTACCAAGCAGCCAACAAAAGTTCAGAAACACTTGAAACCTGCTTTATTTAGTTCCACCCACAGATGTAAATGGCAAAACATATCTACTTGTCCCACAACTGTTTAAGATGCAGGGAACTGTTCCCTGTCATCCCAGTACAGCAGTGTCATCACCTCTATGAAGAAAGAGGCAAGCAAAACAAAGAAATGCACACTTTTGTCAGTGGAACTTCCCGCTGAACAGTGGTACGTGCTACTGTTACATGTAATACTGATGATCACAAATGGAAGACTGGAGGAAGACTCTACTTCCCCCTGCCCACCAGTGAAATATACTCTAGGGGAAGCCTGTCAAGCATGTAGACGGCCAGACTGATGTCCCTGAAAATAATTTGCCAGAAAGAGTCAGAGATCAGCCCCAAAGCAGCGTTAGTAGTTTCAATGTCTGCACTGCAAGAGAAATCACTGAAACTAAGCATAATCTTCACAGCATTTTACCTAGCTTGCACAGACACTCTGTCCTTATTCCCTACTGCAGTTATAGATGAAGAGCTCAGTTTCAATAATATCATAGCTGATATTATAAGAGACTGCTCTAATATTCCAAAGTTTAGTTAGACTAATAAGTGCCCAACAACCAGGGTCTTGAGAAGTCATTTAGCTGGATTAACGAGACAGAAATTGGTTTTGATTTGACAAATACAGTTTATAGCCTCCAACTACCATTTGTTGCACTGTAGATTGAAAATTAAGACATCAGATTTGTGGGGGAAAAGAAAAAAAATTTTTTTTTTTTTTTTTTACCCTTTTTACAGCTCTGATTTCATTTCCTGGCTTGATTCGGCGAGCATAGCCTCCCTGGATCACAGCCATTGTTATTCCAATAAAGAAAAACATCTTGCCCTGCTGCATGCTAGAAGGGAGGCAAAAACACAGATTATGGAGTCACGCACAGAGCATTCCACCCTGGGATTCACAGGTTCAGTGTAGACCCTTTCCTGAACCAGAGAGAGAAAATGTTTTGTGGTGCTCATATGAGCAGTGCCAAGCTCTTCATATGCTGACATTCGTTTCCATGGCAGGCAGACAGCAAGAAGATAAACCTCTGAGGTCTTACATAGAGATGGGACGGCTGCTGGCAATCGCTGCAGTCATCTCTAGCCTGCTATGATGTAGTTTAGTTGTTTCTAGGGTGGCCCACAAAGAGTCAACACACTAATTACCCTGTGCCATGGAAGTCTGTGCCATAAGCACAGGAGTTGATTTCCAAGGAACAAGTGTTTTTGCTTTCTCACAACCATTGCCAGCACTTTTGCAGAGCTTGATTAAAGTTACCAAGGCACAACAATGGGCACTGACATGGTGGTGATCATGTATTGCACCAGCAAGCTTGCAAAATCACTCCCTCCACCCTTAAATAAGTCTTCAAATTTCCCTTTCACCTCTCCTATCTACTAAACTATGTGGATATTCTCAACAAAAAGTTCTCACCTCCATAACAAGCTTGTTTGTCACACAACGTGTACTGTCGGCCTAAAGTTGTATATCTCACTACATGGCTATCCTGAAAGGACTGTGCCGAAGCAAGCTTAATACCCTAGAAAGCCTTTCCTTGGTGTACACACATTAGTTAAGGCACAAACCGTAATGAAAGACAGACAGGGAAACATGAGACAAAACCCCTGAGAATTACTCAAAGGGAAGGACACACATAAGGAATCAAGCTGTAAGATCATGTTCCTGGCTGGCAGGAAATGTATTTCAAGCTGAGCTGCTGTTAGTGGACTCTGTTCTCTTTCTTCTCTAGTGTTTGACTAAAGCAATTCAAACTCTATGATGTAATGACTGCACACCGTACGCAATGCAGAACTCTGATGAGCAAATATAATCACATAGCTATCCCTCCATCCTTTGCCTTTTTGAGCTTCAGGATTCATCCTGATACTGAAGAACTCTTCTCGGCTAGAAGAGAAAAGGTTTTATTGTAATCAATACAACTAGCCCAGCTACACATATTTCAGGAGCTTTAAATTTCATCTTGTGTATGGATTTTCTCTAGTTATTAGAAGTTGTCGATTCAATATTTCCTTTCATGATAAACAGTGTGCCTGTATTTTCATAAATTCCTCCCACAAAGCCCAAGTATCACTGAATGTAGTGGTTCCTTTCTGTGTGTTTTTACTCACCTCATAAATCCTCTCTTGAAAATAAATGAAGAGACCTTAAATCAAGATGTTGGAAAATATCCTAGACAAAATATACAACATTTATCTTTTAAGTGTGCTATACCTGCTGAAAGAAAACTCAGTGTATACTCCAAGCCGGAAAACAGGAAAAGGTACAGGAAATAAGACAGGCCCAAGATTTTGAGATTCTGAAGATCTAAACAAAAAACACCAAGGGGGAAAAAAAAAAGAGAGAGAGCGAAATATGGTGGTGTTTTTCAAGCATAGCTTGAGAATATAACAACAATAGTAGAGCAACATTTATCAACTGTACAGGGAAAAGTTCTCACCTCAGGTGCTCATTTTAAATATCCACACAAGACATGCCAGAAAATTACTTCTGCCCACTACCTCCCTTCTTATGAAGGGAGGAGAGCCAAAAAGACTAATCTCTCTCTGGGTCACCCAATCCGGCCCCTCTGCCTCACCTATACTGGGGTTTCTTTATTTTTAATCAGTACCAGCATTCCACTGAATACCTTGATGCCACTCTTGGGATGATATTGGCTAAAGCACAGCATCCCTTTTTCTAAGCTACAAGTGGTCTATGGCAGATTGCCATACTTGTTTTTCTGCCAATGCAGGCTTTAACAGGTTTTCCCCTAAGTGGCAAATATTACTCTATTCCTGATGCAGCAGCAAGGAGGGCTGAATGGTAAATTGGTGTACCTGGCAAACACAGATTTATTTTCTATGGCTTAAATAATTTCATATAGAGACATGGCCAGCTTAAATCGTACATCTCCAAGTCCTGAACTGAGAAATAAAATTCCAGTCTGAAGTTTCCTGGCAGCTTGGATAAGCAAACTCACATCTCCCTTACTTGTGCCTTGATCTATCTTTTTAAATCACTTCACTTGCTGCAGCTTACCCCATGCTGCAGCAAGTGCCTGAAGAAAAAGCAAGTAGCAAGTCAGAAATCTTCAAAACACTAATCTCTAAAACCTTCTTTTGGGAATAACAGGATAAGCACCCAAGGGAACTTGCAAATCCCTGTTCCTAATTTAGTAAGGCGTGTTGTAAATGAAATGCTGCTTCTGAAATGGTTTGAGTACAGTTTTCACTTAGAAACCACTACCACATACAAAAAAGACATACAATATTAATATAAAAAGTCAGCTAACACTTACTGTGCTCTGAAGGGGATTCCTTTCCTCGGGTGACTGCAGAGAACTGAAATAAAGCCAAGGGACTGAGCAAGTCAACTGCTGCTTGAAATCCAGACGTCACGGAAGAGACCTGATCAGAGAAAGAGAGATTTATTTAAAAATCTGACATAACTACGACTTCAAGGAATTGACAGTAACAGTCAAATATGCTTCTACACCTACACAAGTTATATGAGATGAAACAAGGCAACTGGCAGTGGGGTTTGAGTGACCCCCAGTAACATCGCAGACTTTGTGATCACAGAACTGGCTGCAGCACTGTAACTAGAAGGTAGAGCACTGATAGCAGCTTTCACTGAAGGCAGAAAACAGATTCTTCCTTGGGTTCTTAAAAAGCAGAAGAGGCTCATTCTCCACAGCCTGAAGGTGGCTTTATTTGGTTCACTTTTTGCATCATCCCTCATGTCCAATGGACAAATAACAGCACATCTGCCTGCAAGTTCATGGGAACCTGTGGATTTGCTTGTGTACTACAGGTCTGAACATACATGTAGCACATCAAACAATGGTCTGTTTTGGTACTGGTTGTTCTTCTAGCCATCCAGTGACACCTCCTGGGGAAGAAAAGGAAACTATAATTTTTAGAGATATCCCTTGGAGAGATTTTAGAGAGGTTTCTAGAGACATTCTGCCCAGACACATTGTGTGGCTTTTTGAAGTGGAAAATTTATTTCATAGCACTTCTGGTCCTTGTACTCCATACATCTCAACCCAATTACACTTCTAGTGGCACTCTCTCCTGCTCCTTATCAACAGGCACTTAGGAGATGCTTATTCTTTCATCTATAGAGAATTAAATTTTTTAATTTGTTTATTTTTTATTCTAAGGTATAGAAAATTAAAGAAAATACTGAAGAAGAAATAATGTCTAAATTCTTAAAGAAACAATCCCTTTTAAAATAGGAGAATTTGGACTGATACTTTATATGACAGTCACAGGAAGAGATAAGACAGACTCAAGAATCATGAATAATCACACTTAGTATTTCACATCTTCAAAGCACTGCACAGACTTTATCTGATGAGCTTCCTTCTCTTCCCAGATAGGGAGGGAGCTATTACACCCTTGAGAGCAGAGATTAAAGGTCAAATAATGAGTGGAACTTAATCTTGGTGCATGACCTGAAGACTCATTTGGACTGGATTTAATAAAGCTGTAAACAAATCTACCTTCAATATGGTATTAACATGACCCATCTTGTTTTGATATTCAGACCTTCTGAGTATCCAACAGCAGAGCTCTGTAGACCCTTAGTCTCACAACAGCAACCAGTTCAATATACCAGGCTGGTTTTGCATAAGGCTGCTGATCCACATAGAACGAACTAGGATATTTATTTCCCCTTCCACTGCATGTGTTGCAGAGAGTAAACAGACACTCCCAAGAAGAAGTTTCCTCATGCTTTCAAAAGGTCTGTAAGAGGATTTCCTGAAGCTAGCTTGTAGCAATCCTCAGTTCCTGCATTTTTTGGCATGATGGTGTTTGTACTACACCATTCTGCACCCAGAATCTGGTAATAAGCAACTCTCTCCAAGCATGTTTGCCAGTAATAAAAAACCCTATAGTTTATACCTGTTTTGAATTACTATCCATGTCAGACAGGGTGCCACGCTGCTTTGTACTACAAAACCGATTTTAATTTGGTCCAGAGAATATACGTTATATATGTATATGTTTAAAGCCTTAAGTGTTTTATGAAATACATACATGTATTATATTTTTTAATATGTGTGTATGTATGCGCATGTAAATTTCTTTTAATTTTTCCTACTTTTGCCCTAGAAGCAGTAGTCTAGAAGTAACTTCATCTACTGACCAACAATGAAAACATTGCCCTAAAACTGACAAAAGTGTTTCACCACCTCCAAATAACAAAGTATACACTGCCAATTTCAGTGTCACCAGCTGCATGGAGTTTAGATTCTTTGCAGGTTCACAATCCGCAACATCTAACTTTTATTTAATTTCTATGCTTATGATTTATTACTCAAAAATTGCTCAATTTCACTTCATGATCGCCCCAAAAGTCACCTTAAATGGTAGACATTTTTCACAGTGTCTTTTACTCTGTTTTCATCTAATGCAGAGAAACTAAGTAACATGTCTTGAAGGCACAGAGTCAGTCCAAATCAGGAATGCATCCTGGGCCTTCCAAGCTCCAGCCTTACCTTTCAAATCACATACTGTTCAGTATGCATAGAGCAAAAGCCTTGTTCTTCCGTAAGTCTGCTAGTGATGCTGCATAGCCATACACACAGTCCTTATACGATTAGCTGGACACCAGAAAATAAAAGTAGTAAAAGCCTCCCTCCAGCAAGGCAGTCTTGCCCGTGACTAGCTAAGCTAAAAATTAACTCAAAAGCTCTTAAGCGGGACAGATTCCACTAGAGATCTTTCTAGTCTTCCTATCTCCCAAGCAGGTCACAGCAGGAGCTCTTTTGGCCACCTTGCATAAGACCAGTGTCTCTGACAGGTGAAAGGCACAGTTCTCTGGTCACTCTTCCCCTGATAAACTTGTGGAACAGTTGAAAAAAAGGGGAAAGAGGACAGCAAAAATTCTGGTCTCTTAGGATGAAAACTCATCCTACAAGTTAATTCCAACATGAATGAATGTGAAATACTTCATCTCTCCTTTGAAAAGAGGACTGATAGAGAAACAAGAATATCATGAGAACACAGCATATTTCAAGGAAACAGATGTCTGATCCCCCTGGCACATCCTCCTACCGGTTATCATTATCATTTCCCCTTGTTTTACAGCTTTGTCCTTCCAACGCATCCACTCCTATACTCCAGTAACACCTGCTCCACCTCAGCCCAGCCAAGTTTCAGAAAGGCAGCCAACATACCTGCCTTTCCTCTGTCATCCAGGGGCCAAGAAAACTGCTCCCCTCCCTCTCAAAGTGTGAGGAGTTACCCAAGAAAAGATCAAAGCAGCCTAATCAATGAAGTTACAAACACCCTAGGACACATAAACCATATGGGCCCACTGCCCAGGTGCAGGCTGAAAGGAGCAGCACAAAAGCTAACTAACACCAACAGCAATCACCAGAAGCTCCAACGCCTGCCAAACCACTGTCTGAGCAGCACTCAAACACTCTGTATTTTGCATGACTGGGACCTGACCCTGAGAGGCACCTATTAATCCACCTCATGCAATACCCACTGCTGCACAGAGACACAGCCCCAAAAAGCAGGGACAGAGCATTCATTTTCTTGTGAAAATGCAGTTGTGTTGGCTAACACAGACTAGCTTATCAGAAGAACTCTCAAGAGGATAATAAAAGTGGGAGGGATGTATTCGGTCATCATACAGTCCTAAAAGGTGCTGAAGCCATTTATCCCTCTACAGCAAAGGAGGAATTGTTTATAGAATACAGACTCGCTCTACAGCACTCTCCTACATCAACATGTTGCCACCACCCCAGAGTATGCAGCTCAGGGTTTTATCCAGAATGTTTAGAAACAGCCAAATAGGAAAAAGGAACAGATGACATGGAAGAGCTGTTAAAAAAATAAAATAGCTGCAGTGCTTGGGAAAAATAATGTGAGCAACCAATTTCACATGGGACACAACCTGCTGGGAAATGCTCAGGGAAGGTCTAAAGTTTTGCTGTGGTAAGAGCATTGCAGACAGAGGCTTCCTGAACAATTCTCAATGTCAATGGGTTTGGCTATCCAGAGACCAAGCACGCTTCCATGGCTGAGTACTGCTTAGAAACAAGGGATGATAGGAAACATCCAATCCAGCTGAAAGCCTCAAATCGAGTGTTTCACCCAGATACCTAGGGCTGAATTGAGGCTTCCCACACTACAAAGGAGACTATTCCAAGACACTTTTAATCAGATATATCTTGGACAGCATCCATTCACACAATATTAAATCATAATGTTAACAAATGTTTGGCCCCATAAATCCAAACAGTTGCTGAATTTTAGCACATACAGGTATTTTGCATCTGTGGAAGACAGCACAGATCAGAGAGAAGAGTCATTTGCTACTTTAGTGTTCAAAACAATCAAGCAAAGAAAAGATAATAGTTAAGAAAATTTCTAACACATACTGGCTAAATGAAAGAAAGGCCAGTCTCTGATGCATGTACTTTTATGATTAGCTGAAATTCCTCCCCAGGGAGCTATTGTGATCATAGATGAAAATGCACCTTCTCCCTCCCATGTTCCCATTAGGTTTTGAGAAATTTTAACGTACCAAAACTAGCAATTAAGCAGACACGTTAACTATAAAGAATTTCTCATATTACACTGGGCTAAGAGATGGGACCATCATGTAACCACTTTGACACCAGCCTGAATAATAGTATTTAATCCTGGTCCCAGGAATGAGCTAAATTCCTGAGACACTGGCTAAGCCTCTTCTTCATTGTTTTCAGTATTTCAACAGTTCTCAAATCCTGTTTTTGCAAGAAACACAGATGTTCAGATTGATAGTCTATTTACCCTTTTTTCTTTGGGAAGTGTCTCCGGAAGTAGGAAGAAGATGAAAATTAAATCAGCCACAGCAAAAATGAGTGCTAACAATGCTGAACGAAGATAGAAGACTTCTCCTTTCTCTGTCTCCATGGCTAGGTAAGCTCCGATCATGGGACCCAGGGTAAAACCAAGGGAGAAAGCAACACCAATCATTGCCTGCAGCGATACAATGAACACAAACATCTAGTTTTAGACACCAGTCTGTTCAGGTAGCTTCATTCTAAAACAGTTTGTATTTCCTAGCATTTGTGTTAAAGAAATGCAACCAGATACAGAACCTAACTACTCTGAAAATGTAGGGAGTGCACAGCAAAGAGCACTAAGTGTGAAAAACCCATTATTTCCAAATAACCAATTTTATTTTCTGTCCAGTCAGGAAAGTGGCAGGAAAAAACTGCAATGTGGTTATGACTGAAAGGAAGTTGGGAAGGGAAATAATGATTCTCATCTCAGGGACTACTCAGCCAGCAGATCCTTCAGCCACAGGACACACTTTTGCAATGTAAAACTGGAGAAAGGAGGACAGCGCCATGGTAGGGATTCATAATGATGTCTACAGCTTCTAAAACGGTTTGGCAATTTTTGTATTTAGGAATTTATGTCTCATATAGCAAACAGGCTGAGAGGCTTCCCAGAACAACCTGAATTTAGTGCAGGTACTAAAGGGGATTTATTAACTAACTATGAAACCTGCACACAGGAAAAGAGGTAGGATCTGTACATGCTGCATGGGAGCTTAAAAGAGCACTGATTTGAGTCATCATCTCAGTGAGACTGCTTAAGAATACAACAGTGCGGGATCTGGCTCATTTTCTTTAGGAGACATTCAAAGATGAATACTCACACATGCAGGACCCAAACATGTGTCATCCCAAAACACGATCCTCCTGTTTTCCTGAGTCTATTTAACTATACCTACAGTACTAAACTAAACAAGGGCAGGGCCCACTCAGGTGTCACCTCACAGTCTCCAGTGTTGTTTCAGCCTGCCCAGCTAGCACTCTTCCAGTGGCCCATCACAATTCAGGAATGGCATCAGTCAGATGCTATTCTCTTCCCAGAAAGCAGAATGAACATGCCTACTCTGCTTTGGAAAAGGAGAGAGTATAGCCACATGGATGTGAGCCGTGCTGAACTAACTTGCTCTCAGGCCCTAAATATACACCCTGACCCATTTTATTTACTAGTGCAGTATGGCTATCCCGCTCCATAAATAAAAATATATTTTGGCTCACCAGAACTATGATAAATTGCTTCGAAAATGCATCTGCTATCACTGTGAAATCTAAAGCTTTCCCTTCCCAAGAAGGGGCTGTCCCGCAATAGCAGCTTGTAACAATCTGTTAAGAGAAGTTTGAGGCCACAAGGTTTTTACCAGATAAAAGATCTAACTGGTAATTCACAGGCAAAGTCCAGCCTGCAGGGTGTTTCCCATCTGGGCCAGTGCCTTCTGGAAGAGGACAGAGCAGCTGTTCATGCTACTTTCTGCTCAGTCAGCCAAATGCCGCATCCTTTACCTGCTGAGCTCAGGTCCTGAAGCCACTGGTGCATCCAAGGAAGTCAGAAGGCACCCTGTGCTGTGCAGAGCTGTTGCACTTCCACAGTTTGGGAAGGTGACAAAAATGGTTTGTCCTGGAACTGGTTTCCAGCTACCAAAATTGGGCCATAAAACCTTTTGATTTCTAAATTATAGAATTTTATATAGAAATTTATATAGAAATTTAGAATCCTATTATAATCAGGATTACAGTTATCAGCAGGAGTAACAGTTGTAACACTTACACAGGCAGCTTTTCCACCTCTAGTGCATCTGTGTTTCACACGTAGGTGAAAGTCATTGACAAGTAAAGTCTAAGAGCTCACCAGTAAAATGATCTGGCATCTTTTCAGAAGCAAGGTAGTACATAAAGTCATATTTTCACTTGATCAACAAATACACACCTGAGGAAGCCATTCTGAGTCCCTGAAATCAATTAAAAGTTACTCAGAAAACCCAAACACATACCCCACAGGTGTAACTTACCATGCCCTTGCTCCGTGCTTTTGGAGAGTGCAAGTCAGCAATTATAGCTGTGGAGAGGCTGACATTCCCTTTGCTTATTCCACCTATGATCCTGGAGAGCAGAAAAACGCCGAAAGTCCTAGAGGCAGCCCACAGTGCGTATGATGTTATCAAACCCATCTGCAGAAGCAAGAAAGGGTTCTTTATAAAGCAGAGCAAGGCTGATCTCATTTCTGCGCATTTCCCAGCTAAACATTTGATTTTTTTGTTTGTGTTTTTTTAAACAGTTAGTTGAAAAAAAAATGTAACAAATGTCTGAATATACAGATACTGCACTATGTCCTGGACAGTGATATAAAAGAAGGAGAAACAAATCCATAAAAGCTTCATATAAATGTGAGATTACTAATAAAATTACAAGAGCAAGGAAAGTTCAAAGAAAGCTAAATCAGTCCTGGGCAGAAAAACACTTTTGCGCACCCTGCTCCACTTGTTTTCAACTTCAAGCGAATTCTGAGTTCAAAATAAGAAGAATTCACAGTTCTAGCCCTTCATAATCAATTATAAGCACATGTGCTCTTTTAATTCCCTCTGTACAAGCCTACAGGATACGGGGATTTATATATAATTTGCTGCCAAGTTCACCATGTATGTATGCACTTTCTCTGCACTGCTTCTGTAATTAGAATCCCATACTCTGACCAGCAACAGAGAAAACCTTTTAGAGAGGGTTCATGTTCATAAGAAACACATCTTACACTGCTATATAATATAGCACTTCCTAATCAACAATCCCCAGGCTCTGTGAAATGGGTCATGAAGAGATCAACCCTCATTAGTCACTTGGGGAACTAAAATATACAGGGATTAAGGCTAACGTTTGTAAACAGGGCATCTGAAGTCATACTCCCATACGCAGGGGAAAGGGACTTTGGAAAATCCCAGCAACAGATGGGTATTTTGGTGCCTCCTATATACAATTCTGGATCTGGGAAGCTCAGCTTAAGTACCTGCATTTGGAAGTGTAGCCAAGTGACTTGGCAAGAAGCAGTCAACAACCATCAGACCTAAAATGTTCAATTTCCCAATGCTTTGTGCTAACCACAAGACCATAGTGCCTTCAACTGCAGATTGAGATGGCATGACTAAAATCAACATGAGACACATACCACCGTCATCAAGATGACAGGTCTTCTGCCCAAGCAGTCTGAAACAGCGCCAGTGAGGGGAGAGGAGAAAAACTGTAGAATGGAAAAGATTGAGCCAATCAGACCTAGGGAAAAAAAAATTAAAAAAACAATCTCATTAGACTTACTGTCTTCGTCTTAAGTACAAAGACAGCCAACCTGTTCCAGACCTATCACTCCATTATGTCCTTTAAAAGTACGCAATTAGACATAAAATAACAGCTATAAAGAACAGCTTTGCCTCTGAAACTAAACCACCCACACAACACCGACCTTGCACTGCTGTTTAACTGAGGCGGCAAATACAGACAGACCAGAGTAACAGGCACAAATTGGATGATTCGCTGGTTACTTCACCTGTGAGAAGGGGTTTGAAACTCCGTGGTTATAATGGAATGCTGATTCTCCAATGGTTCCCCAACTAACTACATAAATTTTCTGTTCTTAAAGCAGAGATAATGAAGCTTTAATAGTCACAGTTCTTTTAAGATTTTTTGATTGTTCGAACCTGATTCTGTCACACTTAAATAGCTTTTCTTCCTTTCTTATCATGGAACAGAGGACATAAACACTGTTGTTAGTGAGGCCCCCTAAGAGGTAGGAGTGATTCCAACAGACTCCAAGAGCCTTTTGAAATCTGCCTCCAGTTTCTGTGATCTTTAATTCCTCTTTTCTCTTGCCATTTCTATCTTGACACACCTATTAATTTGCACTACACTCTCAACAAGCAGGCAAAAAAATGCCTTGTTTTAACAGTTTTTCCTCCAAAGGAAAAACTAGGTTATATGTCTCAGATCATTCAGCTATGAAAGCTTTAAAAGCTGAGGAGAGAGAGACCACAAGTTCTGCTCCCATCAAGTTTGAGGGGGCCAGGATATCGATACTGAACACCTTGGGGAGAACAGCTGCTTATAATAGCTCAAAATGCCAAAAAAATGTGTAAAAAAACCATAGAATCATAGAATAGTTTGTGTTGGAAGGGACCTTTAAAGGAAATCTAGTCCAACCCCCCCTGCAATAAGCAGAGACATCTTCAACTAGATCAGGTTGCTCAGAGTCACATCCAACCTGGCCTGGAATGTTTCCAGGGATGGGGCATCTACCACCTCTCTAGGCAACCTGTGACAGGGTTTCACCATCCTCACTGTGAAAAACTTCATCCTTCCCTAGTCTAAATCTACCCTCTTTTAGTTTAAAACCATTACCCCTTGTCCTATCGCTACAGACCCTGCTAAAAGGTCTGTCCCCATCTTTCTTATAAGCCCCCTTGAAGTACTGAAAGGCTGCAACAAGGTGAACCTGGAGCCTTCTCTTCTCCAGGCTGAACAACCCCAACTCCCCCAGTCTGTCCTCATAGCAGAGGTGTTCCAGCCCTCTGATCATTTTTGTGGCCTCCTCTGGACCCGCTCCAACAGGTCCATGTCTTTCCTGTGCTGAGGGCTCCAAAGCTGGACGCAACACTGCAGGTGGGGTCCCATCAGGGCAGAGTAGAAGGGGCAGAATCACCTCCCTCGACCTGCTGGCTGCAATCTTATAGATTGGTAGACTGGCAGTTTATATTAATGAGAGACAAGTTTTCCTCCTTGTATTTCTAGCACTGTAAAAACATCCAGACATGCCAAACACTTCATAGTGAGGGAGCAGCAAAAGCAGGGCTGTACCACACAGGGGAACGAGCCAGGAGCTGAGGGTGACCACAACACTGGCAGTGCCCTCACCAACCAGAGCGCAGTCGCACACTGCGATCCGGATGGGATGGGATGGGTAGAGCAGAGTGCCACTAGCAGGGTCCACTGACAGTTCCAGGCAAGGCAAGAGTTATACATCAGGTCCATCCAGGGAGTCCGGTCATGACCAACAGAAGACAGGGTCACAGAAAGGAGTGGAAACAAGACTATGACATAGGTCCATTCATGAGATAAGATACCTGCAGTGTAAGTCCAAGGTCCATCCAAGAGGCAGGGCCAGAGACAAGGTTATACTTACGATGTGGCTCAGGCAAGGCCCAGGCCTGAGCTGAAATACAGCCCCTGAATCACTGGGCAGAAAGTGTGTGGGTGAAGGTTGGTCACCGCAACCAAGTCTTGGTGCTCTCAGGGCCTTGACAAGGACAGGGAAGGTTTGTGCTCCGAAGAGCTTGCAGTCTAAGCAAAGATGAAAGAGAGCAGAATATATCCTGCACTGGGAGAAGCAACAAGATGATCTTGCAAGTATCTTTCCAATCCTATGCTCCTTGTTGTAGATGAAGGCAATGAAGGAATGCAGGCTGCAGGAAGACTGCAGTGGCTTCTGCTTAACATCACAAGTATAATGAACCTTTCCACCATAATAATTTAAGGTGCAATCAGACAAGATGGACTGAGACAGGAGCTGACTACAACTAAGATGGCTTGTCCACCTTCCCCCTGCTTCTGCAGCCTTGTTCAACTCTCCAGTGAGCTAATTCAACTCAATCTGGCAGAAAATTAATGGGGAAAGGGAAGGGGAGGAAAACATCTTCTGCTGGTTTAGCAAATTAGACAGATCATTAAGAAAAGCTGTCAAAGACAACGGATGAGATGGAGTCAAATGTGACAGTTATCAAGTTAATTCAGCCACCTTGTCTGCACCCTCACTGCCTGTGGCTGCCAGGTAATTAGTGAACATTCCCATCACCACTCAATACTGCTTCTAAATGCTTTTCTCCCAATACTTTTATCCTAGAGAGAAAACACCAAGGGATACCAGATTCCTTTGAGACAAGCAGTGTCAATTTTATTTGCATGTTCCCAGTTAGATGCTATATTTTCTTCAAAGGGCAAAAGAGTCAGTTGCACTTCTCTAGAAGGAGCAGGGAGATTTCTCCTTCCCTTTGAAAGCAACTGAGCCAAGTCAAGGCATCCAGCACCCCCAAGAATATAGGGCACAGCAGGTAAAAGGAAAGGGAACAAGTTGGACATGACTCTGAGCTCCCAGCCCCTTATTTAAACAGAATCTGACATAGCGAGAAGGAACAAGGAGGAAGCATGAAGTCAGGCCTTCGAGGAGACAGAAAGCAGTTTCTAAGCGATTAAAGATAACCGTTTCCTACAGTTGTACTGGGTTTGCGTGGCAAGGTTTTG